CCTCAGCCCATAACAACCAGGGCTCTTCTTGCCTGCCCCAGTACCTCACATCTAGAAATGAAGATTGCCCAAAGTGGGACAGGAAAAGGGCAGACAAGGGAACACAAAGCTCATTTATGCTGCAGACTCTTCCATCTGATACTGCATAGGAATTCAGAAAGTTTTCAGTCATAACCTGCTTAAATTTTACCAAGGTATTAGCATAAGAATCAATTCAAAACTAGGGCTTTTATTCTTCAGTTACTAACAGCTTTGGCTCATTTGCACACCTGGAGCTTCTATTACCCTTAGAAATTTACTTACTCAAAAAAGGACAGCATGTCAGCCTGTCACTTCTGTACACAGAAATTAACATAAATGTTAATATAAATATCATCAGCATGAGTAAAATAATATAATAGATTCCAGGATATACATGCTATACCACAATTCCAAAAATGTAAATGAAACTTTTTTTTTTCCCTTTTAAACTGTACCACTAATTCTGGACCACATTTCATCGTGCACAAGAGTATCACAGTGCACATCTACTAGCTATAAAACCACTTGCGTAGATTAAATGACCCACATTCACTTCACACAGCTAGGGAAAGCCAAAAGGTTGTCCAAGACAAACACGATTCCAAGTTAATATTAGAACAAATGACAGGAGAGGGTCTCCCAGAGATGCCATGAAGGATTAGCCATGGCTTATACAGATATTCACACCTATGTGTTAAGATGTGACATCCCAGCTGTGCCATGAGTGACAGGCGTCCCTGTCATGTGCTGGTGTCTCTGGCTCACAATACTCACCCCAGGTCCCCTACGCTGTCAGTTAGGTGGGTGGAGAAGTGGCACATGGACAACCCTTCTGTATGGTCACAACTTCAGAAAGCATCAGTTAGCTAAACCTTCTCCTTCACTTCCCGATGTGGGAGTTCTCCTAATTCTGTCAAAGCTGTCTAGAAAAGTTATTCTCCAGACTTTACATGTTGAAAGAAGGCCTTGAGTAGGTATTTCAAAGAAATCTACATTGCTGGATATAAATTTTATGCCATAAAGCCATAATGCCTTTCTGAAAGATAATATTCCCCATCTGCTTCTTAAAAATTTATGAAGGAAGAACCTATTTTAGAAAATAAAGAAGTGTGTGAGAATCAAGATTCGTCTGAGTGATTGCTTACCACGTGAACTTGCAAGTGACATCACTGTCAAAAACTCCATTACCAGCTCTTCTTTATGGTCTATTAAAGGCATTCAATTTGCAGTTAAAATACAGAAAAGGCCACCATCCTCCTTGCTTAGCTACGTGAAAAAGGCTCGCCGTGCTCGGGCATCTTCTGGTTCCTCCCTTTCGATCTAGGACTAGCTCGTGCTGCACGGATTTGATTGCCTGCTGTTGAAAACAGCTATCAATAAAAGATGTTTTTTCTCTCCCAGTACAATAACCTGTCTTGGTCTGTACTATCGGCTTTGCAATATCTGAGAGGAAAACGAGGCTCTCGCAGCTGTTCCCCAGGTACTAACAGCCCGAAGCCACAAGCTGCTACCTTGGGATGATCTTACAAGCTAAGCAACTTTGGGGCAGTTCACATTCAGTAAGATCCCTGCGAGGGGATGGCAAGAAACAAAGTTATCAAGTAACATTCCTTCCTCTGGGGGCTCCTAAATCAGCACGGGGCAATTATGGTTTGGATAACCATATTCTGGCCATCAGGCACTAATTGTGGGGGAAGATAAATGTAGAGGAGGAAGGCATCTCAGGAGGTGCAATCTCCTCTTGTCTCCTGCCTAGAGCCACAACTAAGGATATCTAGGCTTTCCTTGCATGTCCAGCCAAAGCTCACAGCTTTGCTGGACAGCCTTGCCACTGCTTACCTAATCTTATAATTTATAAGATTTTTCCTAACATCTTCTCTGAAAACTAAAGCAATGTTCTAAGATCGTCCCAGGAACGGGATGATTAGAAACTGCAAAAAAAGTTACACCTCAACCCAAAACTATGAGACACTACCACATTGCCCATCCTTGGACAGCCACAAGAACAAGAATCAATATTACTAATGGTCTTCTAGTCTTATGGCATTCACACTTTCAGAAATCACAGCTGTGGCTACACTCTGGTGACCTTAAGCTTCACATCAAACAAGCCTTTCAGGAATCCCAAACTGCAAAACTCAACTAACCCTCACAAGAAATCAGGAACTCCAAAAATCTCTCTTTTTAGGATAGACACAATCACGGAGCTTGCCAGCATCGGAAAGTGAAGCCCACTAACTTGAAGTATCTGCCCCAACTAACACTATGTTTATTTATTTATTTATTTTTACCATGACTATACTGCAGCATATAAAAATTCCACTGCCCACTCCCACCCCAAATAGAAATTAAACTGCAGAGAAGTCAACCAACTCCAACTTATTAACCACACTCTTGGAAAAAAGTTCCTCACACCCATCTCTAGGCATGAAAGCCTATCATAAGATAGTTTTAGAATCACCATGATAAGAAGCGAATGTTATTTCAAAAATTTTTTTACTAACACAAAAAGAATTTTTAGCAGCTTGTGATAACATTTTCAATCTTGCCTCATGTGTGTGCAGTGCTGTGTGGGTGCAGATATTGCTAGTACATACTGTAAGAGGGTGTATGTGTGTCAAAATCTACATTTCACAGAATCATTAGACGGTCCAGCACAGAACGACGAAGATGATTAAAGGACTGGAGCATCTATCATATGAAGAAGGACTAAGCGAGCTGGGGCTGTTTAGCCTGGAGAAGAGAAGACTGAGAGGAGATCAGATCAATATGGGGAAGTACCTGAAGGGAGAATGTAGGGAGAATGGGGCCAAACTCTTCTCCGCGGCAGCCAGTGACAGGACAAGGGGTCACTGGTACAAGTTGAAACACAGGAAGTTCCATCTCCATGTGAGGAAGAACTTCTTCCCTGTGAGGGTGCCAGAGCCCTGGAACAGGCTGTGGACTCTCCTTCTCTGGAGATCTTCCAAACCTGCCTGGATGCCACCCTGTGCCACGTGCTCTGGGTGTCCCTGCTGGAGCAGGGGGGGTTGGACTAGATGATCTCTGGAGGTCCCCTCCAACCTCAGCCATTCTGTGATCTCCCCTGATGACTATTAAACACTCTGAATGCCAAATTTTGATTATTACCTGTCAGAAAGAGCAGCAGTATCTGCTCTTTAGAAGACTCCACTGGGAGTTGTTTTGGTAGCTCTGCGACTTCCCAGATGTATCACATATTTCAGTTCCTGCAGTAAGTTTTTTCTCCCCTGCTTCCAGGTTAGCATTTGTCACATCTGCATCTTAAGTGCTAAGGGATGATCCGATTTGAAATCATAGCAGCAAAACCCTTCCACCTGCCTTGCAGCCCTTCTCTTCACTGGCAAGGATGTAGCCCTAGACCTGTGACCCGGGAAAACATAGCATTACCCAATCAACTTCCCTACAGATTCAAGGGCTATTTGTGGACAAATCTCCATCTTTCCCATCCTGCCTGGGTGCTTTTTTTTCTCCTCCCTTTTTTGGTGTTCTTGTTTGTTTGACTGCAGCCCTGCTTGGGAAATAAACAAATAGCAGAACTGCTGCTCAGGAAACTTTAAGGTGATTAAAAGTAGACATCAATCCCTCTGTATGTTTTTACTGGATTTTTTTCTTAATGTGGTGACAAAGTAAGACACTCAGCTAGACCTATGGAAACACAGTGTTCATCCGTTCTATGCTTTAGCTCAGTCATGTAAGTGCAAGCAGAGTTATAACGCCGGGGTACTAAGGAAACACAGCAAAGTTTAGCCTGGCTGTTTATTGCTGCTGTCCCAGTGGCTCAGGCACTGCAGTACATTCCAGCAGCAGCAGCAACAATCAGCTGGGGCAAAAAAAAAAAAAAAAAAAAAGGAAAAAAGTATGGACATACCAGAGACATTAGGCAAATAAAACCCATGGGGAAAAACTATCCCAATCTGGTACAGCACAGCAGAACTGCAGAGAGAGCTGGCCCCTGTGCATGGGTCTCCATCCCTCTCCTCTGCATGGACTTTTCCATGCCAGCAAACCTGGTGGCCAGCCAGGGGCTGGCAGCCTCTGTATGTTAGAGCCTCTTTCCAGGGCAGATGGCAAAAACCACAGCTCATTAAGTTAAGCAGCCTCCTGTTGTTCTAAGACACTTTTAAGTGACTTAGTGAAAGAAAATAATGCTTCCTGATGAAAAAAAGAATGAAAATAAGTATCATAAAACCAAATACAAGAGCAAAATTAATCACCTGACATGATCACCGTCTTCAACAAGAAAAAATATGGCATCAGTCAGATCCCTTTTACCTTATTTTCCTCTAGGATTGACAGGAAAAATCATAAGAATTGCCACTGCAAGATATAGTAGCCCCAACATGATACATGCACCACAGTACATCAGTATGCCACATTAATGTGGAAGAAAAATGTAACCCTGTGACAGGGTCAGCATTACCGCAACAGTGAAGGAAGTAAGACATTATTTCATTTCTCCTCCCAAACCTTTCAGGAAATAAGACACCCATGGCTTCACTTTTTGATCAGTTATCCATGGAAGATGAAACGAAGCAAGAGAAAGTTTAGTGCAACCGGGGATCCCACACTAAGCAAAAGCATCTCCAAAACACAATTATTTTTACCTTACCAAGACATCCCACAGAAGAGAGTGAAAAGTTTTCTAGAAGTTCCCTTTAAAAAGACTGCCATATCTTATACAAAGACATTGCTCCTTTCCTTAAAATTCAAGCTGTCCTGGAGTTCACCGCCCGCCTCATCTTTAAATAACCAATAAGCTACTGGGGGGGGGGGGGCCGACAAAAAACAAAATGACTAAAAATTGACCAAACTCAGACACAGCTTCATGAACACAGAGGGCTTGCTCCTTCCATGAGTAACTTTGGTTTCATCCTTGTCAAGGCAAACCTCCGAACTTTTATTTATTTTATAGTGCCCAAAACGCTGGTCCCATCTCCAGCAAACCCACCCCCGCTCACCTCCGGGGTGCCCGCCCTTCCCTCCCCGCTGCGATACCGCTGGTTTCGGAGGACAAGGCCTCGAAACGGAGGGCGATAACACAGCCTTGCAAGGTCGCCAACCCAAAGCTGGCACGGAGGCTCCTCACGGGGACCCGGCCACCTGTCGCTTGGGAAGGTCGGGGCACGGCTGTCGCGACATAACGGCCGCTCTGTCGCGACATAAGAGCGCG